TTTCATTATATGCAGGTGAGCAAGTAAGACGATCTTGCATGATGGCAGTTTTTTGTCTGATGTTTGAAGAAAATTTGATTTTTTTTTTTTTTTTTTTTTTTTTTTTTTTTTTTAAAAAAAAAAAAAGTTATTAGAATTTTTATTTTGAATAGTACAGAAAACTTTGTGAAGCCAGTGACACAGGATAACTATCAAGCAGTCTACATAATACAAGACAGCTCGTGTTACGAGGCTTAAGTGCAAAGAACATCAAATCATCCCCCCAAAAAAGTAAAAATTTTGTTCATGTGTAACTTTGTAAGTTGTGCCCACCTTCAGTTTTCCAAATTTTTTTACCAAACTTGGGGGCTGAAAATTATAAATTTTGTCTTTTACTTACCTTGGTAAATTTGCAACCCATGTATAATTTCATTGAAATGTCCACACACACAATTAATTTCCAATAGTCAAATTTGGAACCCTTGGTCTAGTCTCTGTACTCTATGAAGCCTTTTCAGCTGAAGTCTTCCACATGCAATCTGTATGTTCAAGGGAAATGACCTGATTATTGTATAAAAAAAAAGCCTCTATATGGGGGGGGGGTGATACAAAAATATCTTATTGTGATCTACTCAGCTTATACGAGAATATTTATCTGAACCACCATATGGACATGATCTCAGTCTGGGTGGCAGTAAATACAGACATTCTTATGTAAGCCTACAAGATTCTCACCTAAGCTTTCCACTGACCGACCAATTATTTCTTGTTGATGTGAGCATGCAACAGGTTCCTTCCCAGCTTTTGGTGCACAAGGTAACAAAATGAAAAAGAAACTCCATATCAAGAAAAAATACAAAACCTGTTCCAATATTATATTTAGGTGTTTATTCAGGGCTCTGCCTGGGTGGATAGGCAGGTAATTCTTGGGGCAACTTCTGTTATGCTGATCTTGTAAATCAGTTCTTCCCATCTAGAAACTCCTTGTCTATATATGCATGGTGATGACTGGCATTGGAATACACAACTAGCAATTCCATCCTCAATCCAAGAGCAAATCAGAACTGTTCCATTGATCCCAACCATGATTGTTAATAAAGCCAGCAACTAGATACACCTGATGTCTGGTTTTGTTGTGGCTTGGTCTCCAAAAACTCCATTTGCTGGTCATAGAATGGAAATAATCAAATTACATATTTGTCCTCTAGATACCTACAGTATAATGGAGCCTCCATCCATTCTTATTCCTTGGCATGATGATAAACTACATCTGACAGCAAGATTGGAGGTTTTGATGAGCATAGAACCACCTTACTTGGTGTTGTTCCCTGACCCAGAGTGATAGCACCTGTTAGGGTCCCAGCTATGGGCAAATAGTGAAGCCCCAAATAAAAACAAAATGCTATGAAAGTATAAAAACAAATTTTTATAGTAAAAATACCAGCAATACATTTTTATAAAAAAAAAAAAAAAAATTGCTAACGATATATTTTTACAGCAAAAATGACCAAATTTTATCTGTAGTTGAAAAAAAAACCATTTTGATTTAAAAACGTATTTTGATTTCAGCATTAAATACTGCATAGATGTTGATATGCCACAAAATCAATTCATAGCCTTCTAATTAACCAAAAAAGGTATTGAAATTTGTTGTATAAGAATGTCATTGCCAATATTGGTTTGAAACTAGATCACAAGTGAGTAAACAATCTCTTCCTGTCTGTCTGTTATACATTAACTCTTTCTACTCTATTTCTATATGGATTATGATTCTCTTCTGATCATTATACTGTTTGACGATTACTACTTAAACAAGTATTACTAGTGCGTATATTATTGGAAGGCATTACTATTAGTATCAGAGTCTATGAAGTCTCAAACATAATGAGCATTTTTTTTTTTTTTTTTTTTTTTTAAGTGATAACAAGCTTGACATAACAAAAGTGACAAGTGAAGCCGTCCAACATCAGAAGTGGCGATGAGAATGCACAAGAAATCAAAAAGAAAAAATTACAGCAAAAAATTCTGTCTGTCACTTATTAGTAGCATTTTCAACCTTAAGAACTGGAGAAAATTTGGGAAATTGAATTTCTAAGAAAAATTGCAATGCAATAAGTTACATAATCCATTACATGGATCTTTGCATGACTTCCGTTTAATGATTTGCTTTTAATGAAGCACTTTAATTGAAACCTAAGATCTTGCTTATGGCAACTCTATCACAGCATCAGAGCCATGTACAGTTTTGAATTCTGTGTTTTTCTCTTAGGCAGACTGGAGACATGGTTGGCAATCAGTCTGGCTATTTAAACCATAGCTGGTAGAGGGGGATAAGATGGATTCCTTCCCTTCTCAAGAGTATTTGTGCATAAGTGACTGTAACAAACTCAACTGGAATTTGAACTTGTCTCTCTGATTTCTTATTCTGAGCCACTGTCCATTACACCACAAGAAAAAAAATTATTGAAAATTATTTAGAATACATGGCTTTTAGCCATAATCAAATGATTCTTTTTAGATTTCTGAATGGTAAGAGCAATATAATATTTCCTTATAGTTTCCAGGTCCGTTCTGACTTGTGGTGGTAGCAACTGTTAGTCTTAGCTATGGGCAAATAGTGAACACCTAGACAAAAACAAAACACTATATACATTTACCAACAATATCATTTTTTTTTTATAGCAGAATGACCATCAATAAAGGCACACAACTGCATTAAAAATATTTAGATTTTGGCATTAAATAACCTGTGGAGGTTTTATGCTACTAAACAAAATCAACTCTTATTTCTCTTAATAAGACACATTTGGCATTTATTGACTAATCAGCCAGTGCTACTGTTAAAATTCATATTCAATTTTTTCAAGAAAATAGGTTTTTGAAGTCCAATCTGTTATCTTTTCAGTACTGATGGCAGTTTCCTTCCAAGCTTTTTGTTCAGTGTAGTGTGGGACATCAACATCTTGCTTGTTGTTTTCTCCAAGTTATATCTGCTATCCCTTATTAGTTGTTGCCGTTATTGAAAGTAATATGATGTCGTTTCTGCTATTTGATACAATTCTTTGTGATTTCTATATTGCCAGTCCACAAAGTTCATAAAAGATATTTCATACAAAAAGCTCCTGGCTTTATTTGCTTGAAGCCAACTTTAATCCTTTGACCTGAGAAATCGGTTGTATACAACTGACAGTTTAGATATTAAGAACATTTTTCATTTTTAGGTTAATGAAATGATTTTGTAACAATTTATTGGGTCAAAACACAGTGAGAGTATAAACATTTTTATAGTAAAATACCAGCAATACATTTAGTGAAATGACAAACTATATATTTAAAAAAAAACTTTGTTCTAAAACTATAAAATTATGTACAAAATATCTAGTTGAAAGCTTTATTGCATAAAATACTTAGATTTTGGCATTAAATAACCCATAGTTAGATATGCTGCTAAACAGAATCTGCCAATCCAAACTCTGAGTCCTGCAATATTTTGGGAGTCAATTTCACATTGTAAAATTGACAAAGATTATTGTTTAAGGTTGGCGGACATGCATGTCTTAGTTTTATTTTGTTTTTTTGTTTTTTTGTTTAAGAATTGGTCAAACAAAAGCATTTTCAATCGTTATGAGTCTACCAATTGAATAGAATTTTATTATAAACAATTGCCTTGTAAATGGAATTTTGAAAGCATTCTGAATGTAAAAATAAAGTGTGCAAGACAATAAGAAAAAGTGAAGTTTTGTTGAAATCAGTTGAAAATGTAGGAAATCCGATCCCATATATATATACACACACATTGGGTTTATAAGTATAACTCTGTAATTCGATATTAATAAGTATAACTCGATATGAGTTGTCCCCCTTTCATTAATGCCTCTTAATCATGTTTTCAAATTGATTTCGGGCAAAAAACAATTGTTTTTTCAATTTTTGGCCTTGTCAGAATCACCGCAAGGTAATTTTACGTAGTCATGTGAAGTTTTGTTGAAATCTGTTGAAAAATGGAAGTTCGATCCAGTATATAAATGTACAGACACGCACACAATCTGTGTTTTATAATGATATAGATATACATATATATAATATGAAAAAAAATTAAAGATGGTGTGAGAGATCAGTTTGACAAGTTTATTGTCTTTAAAGAAAATGCATCAATAAAAATAAGGTTACAGTGCACGAAGCAAAAAAAATCTCTGCATGCTCATTTTGAAGGTGAAAGCCTTATCCTGAAAAGGGCTGTTTTGTGGGAGCTGGATCCCTATTGGAAATGGCTGGAGTCCCGGCTGTTAGATGCTGGAGCAGATACTACATGTTGATCCTCATCTTGACTGTCTAACACTCTTTTTTGTTTTTTTGTTTTTTTTTCTTGTTGCTTTGAAGACTTTCTATATCCTAAATTAGTCTTACAACACTGGTTAAGCTTTTCCTTCAGTTGTTTTTAAAAAAAATGTAGGCGTGCCAGCATTAAATGAGACCCTTTGTAAGCAAAGATAAAGGAAGGAAAAATTGTTATAAATTATAAAAATTTCATAATGCAGTTGTTTTGAAATTTATATATAAGCATTATTTTAACACAGGATAGGAAAAAAGTAGACATTCTTTAAATAATATAAATATTAAGTTTTTAATTTTAACTTTAAATTATTTGAAATTTTCTATGTAAGCATTATTTTAACACAACACAACAGAGGAAGACAAAGTAAGAATATATCAATGTAAATATTAACTTAAATTATTTGAAATTTTATAAGGTAAGAATATGCTTTATCATGATTATAGGGTTTTATAAGGTAAGAATATGCTTTATCATGATTATAGGGTCATAGCAAACTGAATGCCCTTCCTAAAATTTACAAAATTAATATTTTATACATTATCTACTGTGTGCAGTCAATCAAAAAAGCTTAAAAGAAAAATGATTTTCTTTTAGAAAAGCCAAATTTTGCTTTAATCTGAAGTAGCTCTGTATGTTTTATAAAATTTCTTGCTTTGTTCAATATTCAAATATTTTATCATGACAGGACTTGTGAAAGCAAAGAAGTACGACTGGAAAGATTCCAACATGGCTCTTTTTGGCTCTGATTTAGAACGACAAGTCAAAAGTAAGTGGATCTCGCTCTCTATTGCGCTCGCGCTCTCTCTCTCTCTCTCTCTCTCTCTCTAATCTGGATATTGTTCACAATCAAGTAAAAGATATTTAAATCCCTTGTTAAAGATAATTTGTCATTTCTGGTTTCTTTTTTTTTTTTTTTTTTTTTTTTTTAGTGCTGGGTTTTAAATTGTTTAATTTGCTACTTGTAGCTCAATATGGCAACCCTGAATTCTCATTTATGGAAATGATGGGTCAAAAATAATTTCTCTTCTTGCACAGGAATCTATCCAAACCAAATCTTAGGAGGGAGCTGGTCACAAAGTGGGAATCAAGTCTTCTTAAAGAAAAATTTGTGCTCTCTAAGCAGAGGAAGCTATTATTAAATCTGTTATACTCTGAGCTACAGTCAGTTGTATGATACACGCTTAGGTGATCATGTATCTTTTCAATACATGACTGACAATTCAGATTTTTTTTCCCACACTAGGATGCCATTTCTTTCTGTGGTAGGCCAGTTGCCTACTCAGTATTTACCCATAGCTGGTCACGAGGAGATGATTTGTACCTCTCCCAAGGGTATTGGTAAGTGAATGTAATGGATCTGACTGGAGTTTGAACTTGGCTCTCTAATTTCTCAGTCCGAGCCTCTATCCATTACTCCACCAGCCATTTACTGGGTTTCCATTTTACTCTAAAACCAATATATACAGGGGGTGTGACAGAAATATATATCACATAATGGTAAGTCATTAGCTAGATGAAGACACTAATCTTACTATTATGTTAGAGATACATCTGCTACACCATGTACAATTCTTTGCTCAAGATGGGGGGTGGGGACATTAGGCAGCTGCCTATTTTCACTTGTAAAAGCATCTGAAGACTTGTCATCAGAAGTCAGATTAAATTGCAAATAGTATTGCTTCCATATCTGGGTGGAATTGCTCATTTTCCACCCATGATGACTTGTTTTCCATTCTACAACCTTGCAAGCCTATTGCATTGCTATTTCCATGGAAAACCTTCAAATGGGATTCTTTTTTTTTATGCACCCAAGGTTCAGCCGTTTACTGGTAGGACATGCCATGTAATGACAACCCTTATTTCCTCTGTATTCCAAATGCAAAAAGACAGTTTCACTTGGTTTCTTTCCCAAGAACTGCCACTATGTGGAACAGACTTCCGTGTGGGTGTTTCCTGAACATTTCGCTCTTGACCTCTTCAAGTCAAAGGTCATTGATTATCCACCCTTTTTATCGCTATAATTTTCATCTCCTCCAACCTCAGCTTTCATTCATATCTTGCATCTCCTTCATTGTCTTTAATATCAACCCTTTAGAGTCTGGGTTAATTTGATGATGTGTATTCAAGGTTCTGGTTGTATTTATATAATTGTCTGTCACAGTGAATGTGATTTGTTCCAATTTTTATATCCTTTTTCTTAATGTTTTTAGCCAGTTATTTTCTAAATGGTCCTCAAATGGATAGCAAAACTGCTTCCTCTGTTAAATATATGTATGCATGTGTGTATATAAATTTCCAGCATTCCTCATTCATCACATGTGTAGGTGTATCAAGTTAACAAATTTTGTCACATGAAGTCCTAAAGGGTGAAACACATCACAAGGAAATCTGTCTGTGTCTCTCTGTCTCTGATATATGTATGTATGTATGTGTGTGCAGACTATACAAGTAATGTCATTAAGTGGGAATAAAACTGGTAATTTTGATTTTAAAGATTAAAATATTATTTTAGTTTCAACTAATGCATTTTAGATATAGAAATTCTGTTGGCAAAAAATTTATAAACATTAAAATTAAATAAAATGTAAATAAAAGTTAAATAAAAATTAATTAAATAAAAAGTAAATAAAATTAAGTAAAAAGTAAAGTCCTTGTCAAAAAATACTTGTGTTGCTTTCAGAATCGGTTTAGATTTTTTTTTTTTTTTTTTTTTTCCAACAATTTTCAAACAAATTGTTAAAAGAAAAAAAGTATTCCAGTTAATGGATTATTTTGTTTTTTCTTAGTCTCCTTTTTCCAGTCTTCCCACCTCGCTCACCAACCCAGAAAGGAAGTGAACACCGGTTGTGCTCACCCCCTATTTTTATTGTCAGTGACAAACTACCTATAATTTTTTTCATTCCCTCTCCTCCATTATACCATGCAAATCTTGTGAATATTTTTTTTCGGTACTGGTTGGGGCACTTGACCTAACATTTCTTTATAAAATGCTTCTGTCTCTTTGTAGGGCTGCTAAGCACACACCCCACTCCCTAACCCCTGCTAAGCACCCCCCCCCCACTCCAACACAACACTTAATGTATATTTCAAATACATTTTTCTACTGTAAAAAAAAAAAAAAAAAAAGTGTGAATACAAGATTGTCAGATGGACTTGCTTTTGAGAATCCAATGCTACTAAATTTTTTAATTTAAAGTTTCAGGGTCTATGTAAATAAATAAAATAAATAAATATGAATAAAATAAAAAAGTGAGTTAATTTGAACTAGTATTGTCAATTGAAAATTTAGTGCTGGCTTTTCAAATGTTCAATTTGCCACTTGTGGCAATCCTGAATTCTCATTTATGGAAATGATGGGTCAAAAATAAATTCTCCTTGTTCTCTTCTTCTTCCAGAGGAATCTGCCCAAACCGAACCTGCATGGGAAGGAGCTGGTCAAGAAGTGGGACTCAAAATCTGGAGGGTTGTGGTAAGTAGTTTTACACTGATTGCTATTATCAGATTAACATCCTTATTGTTTTGATTAGATAGATACTAGATAGATAGATAGATACTAGATAGATAGATAGATACTAGATAGATAGATACTAGATAGATAGATACTAGATAGATAGATACTAGATAGATAGATACTAGATAGATAGATACTAGATAGATAGATACTAGATAGATATACTAGATAGATAGATACTAGATAGATAGATAGATACTAGATAGATACTAGATACTAGATAGATACTAGATACTAGATAGATACTAGATACTAGATAGATACTAGATACTAGATAGATACTAGATACTAGATAGATAGATACTAGATACTAGATAGATAGATACTAGATACTAGATAGATAGATACTAGATAGATAGATACTAGATAGATACTAGATAGATAGATAGATACTAGATAGATGAATAGATACTAGATAGATAGATATCTACTAGATAGATAGATAGATACTAGATAGATAGATAGATACTAGATAGATAGATAGATACTAGATAGATATCTACTAGATAGATAGATAGATACTAGATAGATAGATAGATACTAGATAGATAGATAGATACTAGATACTAGATCTTGCCTTGTTGGTTTGTGTCTCTTGACTCTTTGGGAATACCAGATGCAGTAAGCTTGGATGCATGGGTGGTATAATAACACCTTGGAGTTGGCAATTGGAGCCAATTCCAGTGAGGTCCATTATATTGACTTAAGCACAAACATCCTTAACATCTGAATTCACCTTCCCCCTCCCAGCTATGGGTTAATTAGTAGGACTTGTTGCTGTAAATTATTCTTTCCCAAAATTCTTACAATCTAAAAATATTTTCTGTCTTTAAATAATCTGCAAGAAGTTGATAAGCAATTTTAATAAGAAATTAAAAAAAATAAAAACAGATCAAATTTTCCAGATTCTAAGCCTGTTTCTCTTGTTGCCATTTTCTTTAAGACTTCCTTGTTGCTTACTCACTGTCATGGAATTCTACATGTCCTCCTGTAGAACCATATTTCTGTTACCTCAACTTTCTCCTCTGTGGGGAGGAGATTGTCCAGCATTCACTGCCATATAAGTGGATGTCTATGATAGCCATAGACTTGTTTGCATTCTAAAGGGGCAAAAACTCTGGCATTGGATTATTTTGAAATAATGCTTTACTCTGAATCTATTATAAATATTCAGGATGTGGAATTAGTAAATACCAAACTTCAAATATGTCAATGTATGGATCAATTATAATCAATTTAGTACAGGAGATAAGTAAATTGAACACCAACTCTGCAAGTTGATACAAAGCCAGAACCTTAACTTAAACACTAAAGTTCTCATCTGTCTATATTTCTGAGATGAGGTATTTTAACTATTTACCCTGTTCAGACTGTTGTCCTCCTCTTCATTGTGATATTCATGACGTTTAGACCATTATATGCTGCGGCCTTTTTGAGGTGATATACCGAGACATTAGGTTTGTCTCAAAAATGATGTCCTCAAGGACAAAAGTGTGGGTTGAAGTAATCCAATGACTTGATCCAAAGAGTTGTGAGTTCAATACCTGTCCACAGTAGAGGTGAACAAAAGTAACTTGGAGAGTTGAGTTACTAAAGGGAAATAACTGAAATATCCAGAAAAGGCATGGCACATGGATTGAGAATCTACCTCTGTTGACTAAATAAAGGGTTCAGTTAGAAATTCCAACATATCACTTGAAGAAGCATACAACAGCTGAAAAAAAAATGAATGCTTAGATATATTGTTGTAAATTATTTTAGTAATATCATTGGTTACAAAAACTGATTACTTTAATTTCAAAAAGTGTTTGAGTACGTCTCGACAACACATAGCCTTACCAAATAAATGTTGATTTGAAGTATAGTACCATCCTGAAACTTCTGTCTTTAATGTCATCACAGCGGTCAAGGGAGATAACTCGGTAGTGCCTTTTTTAAATATTTATTAATGGGTAATCAAGGCCATTCATATATGAATAGCATTGGTAGAAATGGTGAAAATGGCCATTTCCATACAGAAAACACTAGATATTCATTGACTAAACAACATTACTGTTGGTGAAATATTTTTACTTGCTTATTTACTTTTTTATTTTGTTTTTATTTTTATTTTTTAATCACTTTTCAGAAAATTTAACTTAAATACGTTATCACACTTTAAAATTTTAATATTTTTGTTTTAACTGTTATTTAATTTAATAGTTGCTGAATTATATTTTCTTAAAATATGAAAGGTATTTGTTTACAAGTGTTTTGGCTGAAAACTTAATCAAGTCAAGTGGGTGTTCAGTCATCTTTCCTTCCTCAATGATGAGGAAAAGCCACTTAAATTTATAAGCATCTTATATTACAATTGAAGTATGGAAGACCAAAAGAATTTATATATCTGAAAGATTATATTCCAACATGAAAACAGGAGTCATATGATGAACACTCTAATAATAAATTTTAGTTTCACATTTTTTGCAATTTGTTTTTGTATATTTGCCATCTTTTGATGCCTCCTTTTTTTTCTTCTCTCATGCTTATAAGCATAAGGTTCAAATTAGATTTTTTTTTTTTTTTTTTTTTTTTTTTTTTTTTTTTTTTTTTTTTTGAGTGAATTTCAGAATTTTTTTTTTCTTGAGGCAATTTTATAATAGAGTAAAATTTCTGAAACAATTTTTGTGACTGCTTGGATGTTTCCATTTTTAACAAGATATTGGCCAATACTAGTATCACTACAATGGGAAACCAGTTTCCTGTTCTTATTCCTCGGTGTTTCTTTCATTGTGAGAATGCCATAGACCTTTCCTGGCTGTCAGTGCACATGGATAAGATCAAGAATTGAAATGCAACATGGGTAATGATTGGCTAGTCGGTAGAAAGCTTGGGCATGTCATGTTGCATGTTTAAACAATCCATTCTTCAATCCTGATTGGATATAATTAAGTTTTCTATTCATAACCAGCTTAAAAGCTTTTAAACTAGCTCCTGTGGAGGGTTAATTAGGCCTGTGGTTTAACTTAGAAAACAGCAATGATAATTTCACAGAAATAACTTTGAATTCCTTAACTCTGTGGAACTTAAAAACATTAATTTCACTCTGATTCAGGCTATAATTCCAATTCCAGCCAAAAGACTGATTTGGGCCAAATTCAAATACAGGCTGAAAATAGCTCTTCAAATCACAAACTCTATGGAACTTCTGAACCTCATTTTAATTCTGATTCCTTGGTATTTTGAAGAAATAAAATTGATTTCCTCAATTCTCAAAGTTTTGGAAATATTTTAAAATTTATAACAAAAAAAATTTAAATTCACAAACTTATTGTTACTGTTATCATATATGAATGAAGTGTCACTGCTGATATAGTTTGAACATGAATCTCTAGACAATGAAAATGTAGACTGCCATTATAAATAGATAACATGCCACTGACTGGCTTACATTTGTGTTTGACTATTGTGTTAACCTGGATGTTAGTCAAGTGTCTTGGGCTTCAAAATGAATTAGTACTTTTCTTAGCAGCTCTACACAGTCATGTATTAACTGATAAGTAAGCGGTAATCTTTCCGTTGACTCTTTACATTTTTCTTGTTAATGTATTTGGTAATTAAATACTTTATTTTTTTTACATTGAAGTTTTTGTTATTGTATTATGTATGTGTGATGAATTACAAAAATTCTAAACATAATATAAATTAAAAACTTAAAATCTCTTTTAAATTTGAATTTTTAATTGTTCCCTTCTCCTCCAGGCACAAATCCTAATGCATGTTGAAGCACCAAATAAAGGGCGAGATTTTCAATCTCGGCATCATCCTGATTCCAAAAAGATGTCTATATAGAGCAAGTGTGGCCAGAGTTAGAGGGGTTTCAAACACACACTGACAGAATTTGTTTGTTTCTTTTAAATAAAAGAAACAAGATTGCACCTTACAAAGACTGAAGAATGAAACCCCAGAAATGTTAATATATAAACAAATTTCCGTCTTCAAATAAGGTTCAGTCTTTGCGTGTTATTTGTAAAATTGTATGCTATGCAGTGCACAAATATTATCCTCCTTGTCTTGAAGATCTGCTTGTAGACTGCATTCTGTTTAACAGTGACTGCACATTGGTTGGTTCCACATATTGATAATTCTCTATGCAATTTTGTAAACGAAAAATTTCCTTTATTGATCCATTTCAAATTAAAACGAATAATCTATTTTTGCCCTTTCAGGTAAAATAAACTATAAACAAATGTGCTTTTAAGCTTATTTTATTTATCTCTGTAAAATAGACCCCCCAGGTTATTTTAATGGTAAATATTTTTATTATAAAGGCAGCTAATGTTTAAAAATAATATTTATTTTCTAATTATTAAGTTTATTTTCACTATCATGTTTTATGGAACCTTGAGATTGTCAGCACGGTGTTTGTGCAAGCTGTCGGAATTTGAACATGGATTCTGTAGTCTGTAACTGTTGTCTTCAGTGGGTGCACTTGGAGTGTATTGGCAAAAAGAACCATGCCAAAGAGCAAATTTTGTATTTGAAGAGACTGATATGTATGAAGTGCTTAAAATATTCAGACTTCTATATTTCTTTTAAAATTGATGAATAAATTATTTCAACTTCCATCATAACAATTGATGGTGGAAATAAAATAAACTTTTACTGCTGTAATAAATCTGTTAACATTACCTGTCTTCGTAATAATAAAAATATTGACCGGTAAAATAAACTTTCAACAACAAAAAAAAAAATTGTATGTAAGGGAGATAAGTCATTTTTCTTTCAAATTTTTTTTTTTTTTTTTTTTTTCAGAAATTTGAAATCAAGGATTGGCCTCAGGAAGAGTATGGCAGTTTTTATAACGGCGATTCTTACATTATTCTGAACGTGAGTAAATTTAATCTACGTGTATTACTCTAGCTACTAAAATTTTTTTTTTTTTTTTTTTCCTCACTTTATTAAGATATCTAAAAACACTTTTTTGGCAAACCTAGACACATGTTTGCAATAAGATGCAGTAAGGATTACTAATTTTTTTTTTTTTTTTTTTTTTCCCCTCCCCTGCCCCATGTCACCACTTTTTTTAACTACCTTCCTTCACCCTTTGCCTTTTTTTTTACCATGAATTCTGTTCATTTACAAGAATATTATACTTACAATATTCTGAAAACTAATGCGATTAGAACACATGCAATATTTATCATTTATCAATTTATAAAGAAATGTGAAAACCATTTTTATTCATAAATTTATAAAACATTAACTAAACTACTAAATGTTAACTATAAGATTTTTTTCTTTATAAATTTTGAACCAATTGGCAATTAACTGATTTTTGCTAACGATTCCAATAAATAACATTGTAAATAAACAATCTAAAAGTGTTTATTATTTTTGTTGTCAATTTAGTCCTGGGTATGATGACAAACTACATCCAGCAGCAAGTCCTCTGATTGGAAGATTGGCAGTGTAAAACCACCTCTTAATTGCTGTTGTTCCCAGGTCCACCCTGACCCGGGGTGGTAGCACCTGTTAGGGTCCTAGCTATGGGCAAATAGTTAACCTTCAAACTGGGGTCAAGCATTGTGAAGGTGCAGAAATAGATTTTGCCACAACCTCTGTGGCAGTCTTTGACAAATGGATGGCCTGTTACAGTTGTCATCAGCGGATGATCCACTCATGTGGGGACGGCAGATTTCTAAAATGCCACAAAGACTTGAGTTAGGATATTAGCCAGGACAGGCAGTCTTGTGAAAACTTTGAAACCAATACAATAGCTAATTCTCTTGAGAGCTAGACAATTGCTGTCTACCCTAGTAACTAGGAAACCTGCAGCAGTATAATCAAAGCTCTGGATAAACAAGCAAGCAATTCTCAAGAACAAAGAAAATTCACTTTGTTTAAGTTTTATTACAATTCTAATCATTGCTTTTTGATAACCATTGCTGAATAGTGAAAGTAGTTAAAAAATAAAATGGTGTCCAACAGAAAGACATTTTGACACTCGGCCTTACTGCAGGCACATTTTGTCCATTTAAGGGTAGTTCGATTTTGGAATTGTGGTATTGCACTCATTTTAAGTTGGATTTTGACAGGATAGAAAATGACAAGATACTTTTTCCAAATCTTATGAGGTTTAAGTTAAAAATTGTAGTGTTGGAATTTCATTCTGGTGATCAATGAAAGCATTATAAGACTTATAATTTACTCAAGCTTTACAAATTTTAAATTGTGCCATCAAATAAGTCTTCCAACAAAAATTATACTCAACAATTTAGCCATATTATGATGTATTATACTGTGCGTTAGTTTTAATGCAATTTTCAATAAATAATGCAAATTTTTAAAAAATTGTCTTATAATTTGTGGTGTTATATACACATTTATCTATTTTTTTTTGGTTTTATTAATTATGATCTAACAAATCTTATTCATTGAGTAGCCTTTTAGTAATATTTTTACAAAAATGTTTGGTGATTCATTATTAAAATTCCAATTGGAATATTTTTTTTCCATCTTATACACAATATATCAACCTTATTTGGATTTATTCTTGAAATAGTAAAATTTTGGAATCATTTTGAAAGCAAAAACCTGCAGAAATTAGGTATTTTTTTTTTTTTTTTTTATCTCCCAAGTTCAACTTAAAAACTAAATTCTCAAAAATTGGTAAAGCTATAAATCTAATTTTTAGTGGCAGTATTTATCACACCAATCCCTAGCTTTCATATAGTGCAATGTCAATTTTTCTAAAAGTGAACAAATCAACCTGCCCTATTGTTCATGTTTGCCAATGGCAGCATCAGATGTAAAATCTTGGAGTTTGTAAATTTTAAACCCCTCTTTTGAGATTGAGTACATGAATCTTTTCTCCTTCAGACTTACAAAGAGGGCGATTCTGAGGATTTGGAATATGATGTTCACTTTTGGATTGGAAAAAACAGTTCACAGGTAAGTTGATGCCAAAAAGAAAAAAAGACCTTGGTAGTTTCCATAAAGGATAACTGTGCTCTCTCCTTTATTAGGTTTTCTATTCAGACATATTGATTAGATCTGTTTATTTTTAACAACCCTCTGGATAATCCTGGGTATGACAATAGACTACATCTGGCAGCAAAGCCTCTGATCAGGTGATTGGTGGTTTTAAGGAGTATGAAAGCACCTCTGTTATTCCCATGTCCACCTTAACTCGGACTGTTAGTGATCCAGCTATGGGCAAGCAAATAGTGCACCCCCACACAAACTAAAGTCAAAATACAAAAGTATAAATGTTTTTGTAGTGAAATTACCAACATTATGCAATACATTATAAAAAAAAAAAAAAAATTACCACTGCATTTTATCACCTACAAACTACATATCTAAAAAAAACAAAAATCTGTTTACCCTGAAAGCATAATTATGTACAAAATATCTGCAACTGAAGGCATAAAACTGCATAAATAACCCATAGTGGTGTTGATATGCTGCTAAACAAAATCAAATAAGCCAAACTGTGTATAAACAATTTTCAGTCGGCCATTTTATATATATATATATATATATATATATATATATATAGTGGTGTACAAGGCCTGGGAGCCACTTTTTGGGATTAGCAAGATACCATCTTGGGAGTCAATTCCACAAAGCAGTGATTCATGGGAAGATGCTAGTGGAATTTGCATCTCACAAATGAATATGAAAGGAATGAGGGTGGCATGTGTAGAGCATGGTGGGTCTTAACCACAAATGGTGGAGCCATGGAATGTAGTTTGTCTGAGCTCTTTTCATGGAAATGGTAATAAAACAGTGAGAGGCTTGCAACATTTTGTCTGGGGAAAGGGGTTGTAGAGTGGAAAATAATTTGTCACCCTCAAGTTGTTGTAGGCTGATGGGTCTATACTGAAAGACAGAACGTTCACCTATGTTCTTGAAAACCAGGCATACGCTTGACACTTTCCTCAGACTTAGGAAGGGTTTCTCCTTTAAACAGCAGTTAAATAATTTTGCCAAGATTGGGGGATAATTCTGGGTTCATATTAAGAACCACCCCTGGGATTTTGTCAGGAGTAGTGGCTTTCTGAGGGTCAAGATTTTTTTTTTTTTTCTCCTGAGATTGTGCTCAGTGAGACAAGTTGGGATGGGGAGGTCTCCTGCCATCTAACAGTTGGAAGCAAAGAGTGATCGAAGAATTTTTTCCCTTATCCAACAAGTAAAAGATCACCTCGGGGCCATTTACAATAGTGAGCACAAATGCTTTGCCTCTATTCAGAATTTGGTTGGAGATCTTCCAGAACTCTTGGGACCCAATTTCTTTATTTTTAAACATTGTCCTGGATCACTTCTGCATAGCAACATTTTCCATTTTCCAGAACTTTCTTACATCAGTTGCAGGCAGTTCTGAATGCACCAGGTGTCCAAATACTCTGCTCCTTGTGATAGATATTGGAGTAGCATGACACTAATCTATGGCTGCAACACATTCAGGTGTGAACCAGAGCTACCTGTTCAGTTTTTGATGAAGTTTCTTTTTTGGGTATAAAACTCTTCATTCCAGAAAGAATCCATTCTGAAACCAGGGCAGCAGATCTAAAGCTGACCCAGTCTGCTTTCATGTAATGAAAAAATGTTCTATGGAATGGCAAACCAGGGGAGGCCTCTGGCTAAGTATGATCTTGGACACTGACTACAGAATGGTCTGACGAGCCTGGTAGACATGGCAGGGGTTACATTTCTGTGAAGCCTTTCCCAGCTCAGGGTGTAAGGAGGAGATCAAGGTTTGCCTGTTGTCTTGTCATATCAGGAATACTGGTGGGTACTTTAATGATCTGAGTTAGATAATAGGTGATGGAGAAGTCTCTGCGGTGTCTGCCTACTTCAGTTTTGTTAGTGCACTAATCACTCATTTTGTACTGAATATCAAAGACCCAACAGATATGGAAGCTAGCTGAGTGAAATTTAAGGATATTATCAATTCTCTCAGGTATTTGGTTAAAGATTAACATGCTGAGGAGGATAGTGAAGATGAATGTGGTACTGTGGATAAGTACCACATGGAAGCACATCAAGGTCCCTGACTTTTTTTTTCTCTCATTAGTGATATATTTATAGATAGATTATAGATTAAAGATAGATTTCCAAAGATATATTTATAGATGGATTGATAAAGATAGATGGATTGATATTTATAGATATAGATTTCTCTCACACATTTTTCCTTTGTGGTGAAAAATGAATTTAGATATTTCTTGCTTTTTATTTTTAATTTTATTTTTTTTTTTTAATTTTCTTAAAGGATGAATATGGCACTGCTGCTTACAAGACTGTTGAGTTGGATACTTTTCTCGATGACAAAGCTGTGCAACATAGAGAAGTCCAAGGATTTGAGTCTGACCTTTTCAAGAGTTACTTCAAGAAACTCATGTGAGTATACTTTTGTTGCAATAATAAAAATTGAATCCTGTTTAGTAGGTTCAGAATATTAGACCCAGTGACAAGTTGAGCAAGAAATTAAGGCTACTAAATCTTCCTGGGATATTTTTCATGTGTCGTCTCCCTTCAGGATATTGACAATCATGCCATGTCATATTTTTTTTTTTCTCAAAGTGACATTTGACCTTTTAACTTTACCAATGCTTTTATCTCTTCTGTCATGACATATGTTCACACAAACTTAAGTAGGTTACTTGCTATTTTCTCTCTAGTTTCTTTTGTTTTCAATGGGTTTTGTGAGTCACATGTTTCAAACCTCCTTTTTTCTCTTTCTGTGTCTTTTTGTTATTTCTCCTAAACTCTTTTCTGCCATCTGTTTAAGATCATCAAGTAGGTTATGCACCATTTTCCTTTGTTCCTCAATCTGTCCTGTGAGTATCAGATTTTCCAAGCCTTCCTTCCTCATTATATGACTTGGAAGTAATTTATTTCAGAATGAGATGGATTGCAAAAGTAAAAATTGATTTTAGTTGTGTGTGTGTTTTTTTTTTTTTTTTAATATGGGTATAGTTGACTTGTCTGTATGAAAACAAGTGAAAGTCGGGGTCTTTTGGTCATGGCTTCAAGAGACATCAATCAGGATGTGCACAGTTTGGCAACCAGTGATGAAAGTCTAATGTGAATTGTTCATAGACTCCTTCAGTATAAAAAACAATGTAGAATTGGGAAAGGTAGAATCTGATGAAAGTAATGAGACTTACAATTAGAACAATTGAGTGTTTTCTTACAGCAATAAATTTGTCCTTTACACAGATTCAAGTAATTAAGTCAAACATGAATTTTTTTTCTTTTGTGCTCTCCCCCCCCTCTTTAGGGTGATGGAAGGTGGTGCTGAAAGTGGATTCCGTCATGTTGTACCTGAAGAATATAAACCCAGGCTGCTGCGTTTCTGTGGTACCTCCCGCAATGTTGAAGTCTATGAGGTAACTAGCTTTTTCATATTAAATTTGATTAAAACCTAAACTTAGATATTTTGACATTTTAATATATAGTGATTGATTTTTTTTTTTTTTTTTTTTAAAACATAGATGTAGCACATGGGCAAATGCATGGGTCACCCAGTGTGGATCATATAAAACTAAATATTTAAATCCTGTTTTTTCTTAATCTTTTCACACAAAGTGCACAACAATAAACCCACTAGGATTCACAGGGTTACTGAGTGAAAGAACAGATTTGAAAATAGCACTACTCACACACACATATATATATATATATATATATATATATATATATATATATATATATATATATAAACTATGGATGAAGCATACCCTTTGGCCACAGGAGATTTTGATAAAGCATTGTCCGAATTACTGGTTTAAAGAACATGCATATCTTCTTGAATTGATGTCTGCTAATTTCATTCTTATATTGAAACTAGTAAACAAAAGTAATTTTCTTAATTCAGCATTACTATCTTACTATAAAATAAAAAACTTTACCTTAAATAACATTTAAAATCTATGGGTTTGTTTAGAAAATGAACAGTTGGAATATTTATGAAAAAAATTTCATAGGGCTAAGTGTGTGGATGTTAACAAGGTTGTGTGTGTTTAGATGAAATGTGTGCATGTTCAATTTGTAAAGAAAGATAGAAGCATAGAAAAATTTCTTTTATGCTGACTGTAGGGAAACAATGTCTCTTGAGTCTGTTTTTCCTTTTGATAGAGAAATTATTTATGGGAAGTAAGGATAAAAAATGAGTAATATGGTCAAGCTCCAGTCAGCCTCATGTTGAGATGGCCAAATCTCTACTTCATGAGTAGGGTTACTGAAAATACATATGAACAATCTCATTGGAAAATGGAAAGAGGTTCTTTCCAGTAGTGAGGTTATAAAATTACACATGTGACCAGAAATTCTCTCCGGTTTCTTTATAACTTGCATCATGGGAAAACTTTTTTCCCCACAATTGTTTCTCTGGGATTCTTGTCTCTGTGTTTTCACCACAAGCAAATGTGATAATGCTACTGAAAGTGAAAGATGAAAAGTTTAGTGAGGAAAGGATAATAAAAGAACAAGATTCAGGAAGACAGAAGATGGTGATTGATGTTGCACTTAAATTTTTGAAGAAGTGACAAAAGCTGAAAGAGTGCTACAGGTGAGAAGTGCTAAAAAAACTATTGTAACAGAACTTGGTTACATTTAGCTATTTCAACAGTAAAACAATGAGACCTACTTGCTAATCTAGTTCTGTTTTAAATTCGTGTGATCAAGGCTACTGTGCAAAAGAAATCCACTCTCCTTCAAAAAGGCTGACTTCATGTACCTACTGATACCATTGACTCCATAGTATAAAGAAAAACGCTGGGCACTCATTCTGTCATAAGAAAACTGTTGATGGAATTACTAAGATGTACTGGCTATGGATTAGTGTACCATATAAGATCTCATTTTTGAAGCAACTTTGTCAACAAACAGTAACAGTAGCAATGAGTTTTCCAACAGCAAGATGCTACTCCAATGAAAGTCATGATCACCCACTGCCCCACGTAATGACCTACTCCCTAGCATGTCAGACTGACTCATCTGAAGAGACTTGTACCATCTCTCCAGAGAAGCACACACACCAAAGGAAGCCTGGGGTAAGGCAGTCTTCTATAATGAAGCACATAGCATAAAAATGCTAGCTCCTGCCTGCCATCTTTGTGATCGAGATTGGAGGGGATCGTAGTAGTGTGCAGAAGAATTCCATTTATCTTTAAAAAAAAAAAAAAGAAATGGTGTGCGTATGTGCCTGCCAATACCATTGGTTCCATAATACACTGGAAATCTGAAGCACTCATTCTATCGTTCGTTCATAACAAAATGGTTGATGGAAGAGTCCAAATGTGCTGCCTATGGGGTTGGAGTAACCTGGATGTACTGGCTACAGGTTAGCATATCTTTGAATGCATATAAAAATCAGTTTCCGTGAACAAGAGGACAAAGCTGATGAGGTGGAAGAATGGATTTGACCTTACGGCTCTGAATTTTTGACTGGAGGAAAGGTCATTGAAGAAGATAAGAAACGAAGGAGATCTAAGAATAGAGCCCTGGGAGACACTCGGATTAGTGTGAAAGGATCTAGAGTGGCTATTCAGTATGATTTTTATGACAAAATTTGGTCAGATACCATAGCCCTTCAGCTTGTAAAAAAAAAATATAAAAAATATTTTGATCTTTCCTCTTGATAACAAAGATTTTGATAAAATCGTTTTAAGTTTGGAGCATTTTTTCATCATGACATGCTCATTTTTTTTTTCTTTACTGTTCACTTTAGGTCCCCAAACACAAAAGCTGTTTGAATTCAAATGATGTCTTCATTTTGGATATGGGACGCACCATTTATCAATACAATGGTACTAACAGCAATAAAGACGAAAGATTCAAGGTAAACAAACCTTTTTATTTTAATCTTCTGTCTACTTTTTCTTTTTAATCATTAGTCACCTGCTTGCATTTAATTTAAAAAAAAAAAATTAATTGGGCATTTACGAAAATGAGTATAGGAATACTTCCCTTGGCCACCATCTTAAATTTTGACAAATGCAAACTTTATGAAACGATCGTATTTCATAAATTTGTGATGAGTTTTTTAAAATTTGATAAACTCTAAATATTTTCAGAATGTTAAGGTAAATCTTCTCAAAAATTTTGTACTTCGCCAACATTTTTGTTTTTGATGTTTAATGATGCTTAAAAAGCAATTTTATGTAACTTTTTTTTTTTTTTTTTTTTTTTTTTTTTTTTTGACCCCTGCCACAAACAAATGAAATATTTAAATATTAAAACTAAACATGTATATTTTTCGATTTTATTCATCTTTTGTATTCAGTTATGTGGGACTACTTTTCAGGGCAATAGTTGGGGTGGGGGAATGGATGTTGCTGGCATTTTAAGCAATGCAACTCCTTGCCTGGCTTTCCACCAAGTAGCTACTGATTGCCCCACATGTCAACTCTTGTTCAACTTTGTGTACACTGAAAATTGGGAAAAGCTCACTGCATGTTCACGAGTTGAAGGGATTTTTTTTTTTTTTTTTTTTTTTTTTTATCTATCACAAAATAAATTGTTTACAATATCATAAAATAGGTGTTTTTATTCAGTTCTTTGGGTGACATTGGAACTATGTAAAGGACAGTTTTACTGCTAAGGTTTATCCAGAACTAGCTTACTCAATCCCAAAATGACTGTTTAATATAGACCAAACACAATTAAAATGGTTTGTTGTCACTTGGTCTCCAAAAGCCCCCATCCACTTATTTACTCTTCTGTTCCACTTGAAAGTAGATTCTGCTAAGACTTCAGAGAACCCATCTGCTGGCTATAAAACGGAAACCCTAGATAAGATCATACTTTTGTCACCTATGTGTATCCTAACCATGGTGTCACTGTCAGCATGTCATTATCACTAGTATTAGTATGGTCTTCCTCTTGAATTTATTTTGGCATTTAAAAAAATATGTAAACCTCCTTTTTAAATAGACATGTTTCTCTTTTAAAACAGGCTATGCAGTTTGTCCAAGAACTTGAATCTGAACGTGGAGATGCAAAGGGTGAAGTTCTGGAAGAAGATGATCTGCGTGACTCTGTAAGAATAAAAATAAAAAGTAGCATTGTTCGTTATAGTTAATTAAAAAAATTAACGTTATCTAAGGGAGATACTTGACTATTTTAAAACCTTGCTATTATAATTGTGTTGTTTTTTTTTTTTTTTTTTTTTTTTTTTTTTTTTTTTTAATTACAATTTAGGTATTTCATACCTGTTTATAATGGAGCATATTCATAGATATAAAAAATTTTTGACATGGAAATCAACACTACATTGAGACTCATTTTCACACCATGTGATCTTAAGACACTGTCACTACTCATTTCACAGCATCTAATATAGGCTACTGAAAAATTTAATGTCTTTTAGGTTAGTTTTGATCTCACACACACACACACACACACACACACACACACACACACACACACACACACTTAGACCTCCCACTCAGTGGATTTGATCTGTTGAAGTCTTGTGTTAAACCACCAGTTGTTCTTTCCAGAAGAACAGATAAAGGACAAAAAAAGTTCAAAGGATCCTGTGGCATCTCCAAACCTCCCCCTTCTGCTTTTAATTCAATGTTCTTTCTCATAGACTGGATGCCACTCAAGAGATCGCAGTCTTTGGTTTTTAACCCATAGCTAGTAGAAGACTAATTCAAGCTTTTGTCGAGGGCATTAGTGTGAAGTGAATGAAATGGAATTCCACTGGCTTCTGTAATCTGTTTGGCAATTCACTGCTAATAACAGCTGCAGGAGTTGCGTGTATTACCCCCCCCAAAAAAATATATATATTCAGTACTGTCCAATATGAAAGGAAATTATAAATAAGGTAATATTTACTTGTCTTTTAACATTTTACTGGAGTGGTCTTTAACCATGTAGTGTTGATTCCTATGTCAACATTGTCTATATCTACAAATGAGATTATATATATATATATATATATATATATATATATATATAATATATATATATATATTAAATCTTATATAACTTCAAATGTTATTTTTAGTGGGTACTTGTATTTGAGTAGATACTGTTTTTTAGAATGGTGTCTTTCATCTACCATCCTGCATACAGAAAAAAATATTAAGAAAATGCATCCTCTGATAGGATTCGAACCTGTCTCCCTTTTGTAGGAGAAACTATCATCTGTTCCAGTGTGCTTTGACTGTTCAGTGATGGAGATTTTCAATCCTGCCAAGGGACACTTTTTTTTTTTTTTTTTTTTTTTTTTTTTTTTTTTTTTTTTTAAGGTCTTGTAATTAGAATTTATAATTTTAATTCTGGAATTGCCAGGTTTTGTTTCACTCTAGTACCCTACTTCAAGGCATACCTAAAACTACTTGCTTGAGGTATAAAAAAAAAAACTACAAGGGTAGTTTATAAAGACAGATTCTCTTATTCTAGAATTTTATAATCAAAGTAGACTTTTTGATAATTTTAAAATAGTTTCAGTAAAATTTAAGAGCCTAAATAGATTGTTTGTTGTAACAACTGATTTGTGTCTATCATATGCAGAAATGTTGTTACTCTTTACAATCTTAATTGCTTCAACCATAAAGTCATCTTGGTATATTTAAATCCAACTCTTTAATAATGTTATCTTTTTAGTAATACTTCAAAATATAAGCTGTATTTTTTTTAAGTTTAGTTGTTGCTTGCTATGTGATTTTAAGTTTTTACAGTATAATTTAAGTTCTGAATCTTTTTCTCTTTCAGCATGAATTCATGCAACAGCTTACTGATGAAGAGCCCGATGATCCTGACGTTCCTCTTGAGGATGAGGAAAAGAAACTTTATCGGTAGGTCATTACTAAATAGTAAAAAGAACTTGCTTTTTACCATTAGTAGACTTTTGGTATACTTTTTTTTTTTTTTTTTTTTTTTTTTCCTAGTTCAGTTCTTAAATCTTCATCACTCAGCTGATTGGTGTTACTTTCAACATCCCAACTCGAGAGTTTCATAGTAGGACCCTCCAGCAATCATGTCATCATCAAGGGACATGTATATTTGAGTTAAAGATCAAATGTAGATCAGAATCGGACAGGATATGATAAAGAACAAATAGGAAATGTGCATCACTCTAACATGTCTCACTCTTAATAAAGATCTCTGAAGCTTTAATAACCGAATTGTTAGATTTATTAAACATTTTCCTATTAAGTGTGATGGATAAATTGTCTAAATTACACAAAAATAAAAACACTGACACAACATTTTAACAGATAAAATTACACAAAAATATGATTTACTAAAGAGTAAATTTATTCAATAAAATCACCATTGACTCCAGCCATGGCTTCTGGACAGTCTCCTTCTTTAACTTGGTGAATGCTGCCATGATCCTTGCCTTCAGGTCATCTTTGGTATTAGGAGTTTTGTTCATTTCTCAACTATGCCGAACTCTTAATAATCAAGGATGGTTGCAGCCTGGAGAGTTAGGTGGCCAGATGTAAGATTGTTATACAAGGCCTCAGACCCCCTCCCATCCTAACTTTATATAAATATACATCTTTGACTTAGGCTCCTATAAGAGGCTGATCCACTCTCTCTATTAAAATGCCATGATTGAATACAATTTATATTCACTAAAAAAAAAAATGTATGCATGTCTATTTGCAGGCCACCAGTTGTAGGGTGTGGTCAGTTATTCTGTCCATTCAAAACCATATTTTCACAGGATTGCCAGAAACCTAAGACAAAAGTATTTAAAAATTACTCTGACGTTCGTTTTTTTTTTTTTTTTTTTTTTTTTTTTATAGCGAATTAAGTCACTCCAGTTCAGTTGTGTGTAGTAAATTGAAAATCAGTAGATGATTAATTGAATAGGAATTAATGCCCTTGTAAATCTTAGTTGTCTCCCTTGGATTGACTGACACCGGTTTTGTTTTGTTTTTTGTTTTTTTCCTATTTATTTACGTGTCTTTATTTTTGTTTAGGTTGAGTGATCACAAGTTTGATCAAATTAAAGCTGGAGATGAAATTAGTAAAGGCGACCTTGTCAGTGACGTAAGTTTTTTTTTTTTTTTTTTTTTTTTTTTTTTTTTTTTTTTTTTTATCATCCCATTTGTTCAGAAAATTTTTTTTCTTTGCAATATTTACATATTTATACAGAATTAATGGGTTTATTTTTAATCAGACATTTTTATTAGTGGATACTCTTATTTGAAATAAATTCCTCATTTTTTTGCTTTAAATTCTGTTAAGTCTATCAGGGAGGAAGCCCCCCCACCCAATGTGCATGATATACCATTAAAAATACACTGTAGGTCATATACTGACAACATAAAATCCTAAAAATTATCCATCAAATATTACCACAGAAATCAGCAGGAAGAACTTTTACCAGGGTCAATACATTTTTAAATTCTTAAAAGAAAAACCCCTATTTGTCAATTTTAAAAATAAATCTTTTAACATGAGTACAGTTTATAAATACAAAAACTTACAACTTTTGACAATAGCTAATCACCCTAATAGTTGGGTATCCTTGAATATGAGTGACCTCTTTCATTTCATTTAATTTCATTCATTGATTGTACATCACTGGTTTTTAATTCTGATCAATTTCAACTCGGTGACTTCATATAATTGGTCAAACTGAAAATTTTTTGTTTTATTTATAGTAGAATTGTTTTTGCAACATGTTAACGTTGAAATCCTCACAGTATTTTGTATCATTGAAGTTATCACTAACATTTTTTTGTCAAGATTTACAAACTCTTTCATTCACTTTCACAAACCAATCAAATTTGAATAAGCTGATTTTAGAAAAATACTTTGACAGAAACTTTCATATTTTAATAATTTAATTTTTATAGGACTTCATGGTTAAACAATATCTTAAAATTTCTTTTTTCCTCTTTAACAGTGAAGAATAAATTCTTTGGATTTCTTACTCTTGAGCATGCAACATATAACTGGCCATGAGTAAATATTTCTTTCTAGAGCCTAATTCCAACTTTTTTAAGTGTTTGGCCTTGTGATTTGTTTATAGATCTTGTAAGCACAGTGCAAACTGGAAACTGGATTTTTGTATATAAAATCTTAGAGCTATGCAAAAAAAAATAGTGGGAATATTTTGTTAAATAATAACTTTATTTTTCACAATTTAATGAAAATTTATTGTACTAAGCTATGCACCCCAGTAAAACCAACTGTACTTTGTACCCCCCTTACAAATTTGCACTTCTTTCAAAACTTGGTTTTGATCAGTCAATATATGGCTATTTTAGAGGGTGTGACAGACACAGAAGTCACAGAATTTTATAGATACATAATATCTGAGCATACCTTTTTGTATTTTTATTAATATATTCCATGTTCTTTTAATGTTGTATACTGTAAAAATACACTTAAATTTGAATTGATTTGGTTTGTATGACAAAGCTTTTCTCGTTTGTTTAGAAAAATGTTCATTTGGTTATAAATTCTACTAAATGTTACTCAATATTTTCAGGATGTCTTTTTGCTTTACAATGGCAAGAATGTGTTTGTCTGGGTTGGCAATAATGCATCAAGAGAAGAAAAGAGAAATGGCATTCCCTATGCACATGTGAGTAAACCTTCCTCTTTAATTGCTGACTACAAAACATTGAAATAGTTTATAACTGTATGCATGTAAAGGTCTCCTCACCCCCGTCCCCACAACCATTCATTTTTGTATAAAAATAATTTTTTTTTTTTTTTTTTTTTTTTTTAATTACAGTAATTCCAACTCCAGTTCTAAAATTCCACAACTGAACAGTTAAAAAAAAAAAAAAACCTACTTTATACAAAAAAATACATTATGCAATGAGAATAGAGGATTGCTAAAACATATTCCTTTTAGCAGTTAAGTCTTGGCATTGGGAATAATGTCCAAATGTCTGCTTGAAATAGATTGAAACACTTATCTGATTCTGCTAATATCTTCTAACAGCTGCTTGTCCTTGCATTATTCAGGTTTGCTTGTGGCCAGCAGCGCCTGTTCTTGGAGTAGACTAAAACATATCTGTTCCGTTCATGGTCATCTAGGCCTCTCCGCATTGGCGCCTAACTTCCATTTGGCATCTAATTTTGTGTGTTACCCATTATCAGATAAATAGACTCCTTTTTCTATCAGGTGTTATCAACCAAAGGAAATAACTTATATTTTTTTTTAGCTTTTGAATGCTAGTACTCGAACAAAAAAAAAAATAAGCAATTTGAAGTTTTTTTAATACTTTTTGTTGATTAATGTTCTTAAAGTCAAAATATATTGATTTGTTATTGAAGTGGTGTGGGGGTCCTGTTCTTAATACAATATGGCCAACTTTTCTTTCCTTCCTTGCTCCTGGACAAGATGAAAATACAATTGCACTCGGATCTTAAGTTTTGGGGAAATTATATTACTTGTGTGTGTGGTGTGCAAATATGTAAAATTTAATTTTTGTAATCTTTAAATTTGTTTTGTCTTGCAGAGTTTCTTGGGTGGTGAAGTTGGCAAACCCAATTGTCCAGTCACTGTGATTTCTGAAGGTCAAAGATCCAATGCCTTTGAAGTAGCAATGACTGCTTAAAGCGCTGGTTTCAAACCAAAATTGGCAGTTCAGCCATTCACATAATTAAGACAATAACCATATTGCTTTCTTTTTCTTATTGCATTCATGAGGTTTCTTCCTTGTATCTGTCACTGTTTAACTGTAACAATTTTAATTTAATTATGGATATTAAAAATTCTAATTGCCTTGTTAATTTGGATTTAATTAAAATTTTGTAAAGTGGAGAAATTCTGCACTCTTGCTATCTTTTTGGTTTTCTTTATTTTTATTTTCTTTTTCTTTTTTATATAAACCTATCATTACTGAAACTTCATGCGACATAAAATACATTTATTCCCCCCCCTTTTTTTTTTTTTTTTTTTTTTTCCTTTAAAAAAAAAGTACTGGTCCTCTAAATTTTCCTTACCAAGCTACTTCATGAATTATTTACTAGAACTAAATTCTTTACATAAAATTCTCATTTGTTATGGATTTAATTTTTATTCTAGGAATGATGGTGCCGAATAAAGTAATAAATTTTGAATTTTTTTTATTTTAACTTGTTTATAACTAAATAAATTTTGACATTAATATACAATCGTTGGATTTCTATAATGTTTGCGTCCTGTGGGTCAATAACCTGAAAATTTACCCTGACAGTGCCTCTATACGATTTCCTCTAAGAACAAAAATCTGTGATTCAGCACTTAAAATTTTTACATTTTTGGGAAATTTTATAAACTTAATTTTTTTCTTTTTCTGATTAAAACTGAATAGTAAACGATTTCTGTTTTTGTTTTTATTTTCATCTTTACCATATTTGCTGATCTAAATGATCTTACACATCCTTTCAAAATATTTGGACAAAATATTCAACTGCCCCATATAAAGACCAAAAAGAAATTTTTGACCTTCCTCCCAAACATTCAACAAATGCAATCAAAAAGCATCTTTATTAGGACAGTAAATATGGAAAAAAAATTTCCTTACTCAACTCAAATGGTATTTTATAAAACGTCTTTGAAAGTTTGATGTTTTGCCTCTGGTGCAACAATTCTCACATGCATTGAGTGGTTTGCTTCTAGCCTTTTTTTTTTTTTTTTTTTTTTTTTAAGAACAGGATTCAAAGGGGAGGTAATCCACTTTTCACAATTCACTGAAACATCAGCTATAATTCCAGTATAATTTGCACCCCATCTGCCACCATAGAATCTGTCATACACTTTATACATTGAGAAATAATATACTGAATAGTTTTTAAAAAATGCTTTTAAAAGTAAAATATAGTGGGGATGGTACAATTCAGAGAAACTGAAGCCGACTATGATAATTTTTAGCCTAAGCAAGGCAATAAAGCCACGAAGATGCAAAGGGTTACTGAGAGGGTGGGGACTGATAAGACCTAACTAAGGAGAAAGGATGCTAAAAAGAATCGGATTCAATGACATGAGGACTACTGACATATTTAACGTAGATCGTAGTAGACCAGAAAGGAAGCCAAAACAGTCAAGGAACAAAAGTTACAATGAAACTTCTGAATTTCAACTATAAAATGTGAGTTAGATGCTAATCTAGTACTTGTGCTTAAATTCATAAAATCAAGATACCAAAGAAAAATCAGAACAATTGCATGAAATATAGTGTTATAGTTCAGCAGTGAGAAAATGAGATGCCAGATTATGACTGATGATATTGCAGATTTTTATATACAGTGTCTACCACCACCCAGAACAAAAAATAAAAATGACTTAAAATGTGAATATCTAAGGAACTACATGTTCCAGGTTAACTAAATTAAATAGGCTTCTTGTGGAACAATAAAAATATTTATCAAAATTTGAACAAGATATTCACAGGGATGTAAATTTTATTTAACCAATTTCACAAATGTTCAAGTCTGTAGTCCAGTTCCCGTCAAACATTCTCCAGTGCCTCAGATTCTCTGAAGTTCTTCTAGACTTGTATGAAGAGAGGGGGATATAGAACTGTCCTTTCACATAGCCCTCCCTAAAAAAACCAACACACACACACACACACACACAAGGTGTCAAGTCAGGTGAACATGGTGGCCATTTTAACAGCCAGTTGTACTTATCACTGGCACACCCAATCCACCTTCTTGGCAGATTCTGATCACCTTTTCTCTTTTTTTTTTAAAATTAAAAGTAATATGAATTAATACATAAAACTGTATTTTGGAGAGGACATACTTAAAAGGATTTATTCCGCGTCTTTTTTTTTTTTTTTTTTTTTTTTTTTATTTGTTCCTAAAATGAAGCCAAAACATGAATTAAAATTCCAGCAATGTATTTGTCGTGAGAAAGGGAGATTGTGTGTGTGTGTATTCGAAAGAATACATGAATATTGGAATATGAAAGTTATCTCCCTCTAATTTTCTCTCTTGATTTTTCAGTAGATTTTTTTTTTTTTTTTTTTTTTTTTTTTTTTTCTTTTAGCAATTAGAAAACTTTTTATAAATGAAATTATTTATAAAATCGACACGAAAAAGGTATTCGTACAAAATGTCATTAATATCAAAAGGCTTAAATTCTATTTACATAATTATTTGTAAGATTTTGCTAATTTGTTCCAGTAATAGGATTATTGGGAGAATCTAGAAAATTCTGCAATTTATTTCTTATATAAGGTGATCTCCATACGCAATAATTATGGGGAAAGGCAAAGATCTATCAAATTTGAAAAAAGAATCGATCATTAAACATTGGAAAGAAGGCAAAAGCTATATGACATTAGCTGATATCCTGAATATACCATTTACTACTATTAGTTCTGTTATAGCTAAGCATTAAAGAAAATAAAAATGGGGTAAAAACTGAACAAATTGATCTGGTGCACCATGCAAGATTTCTCCCAGATCAATGAAGACTTTAGTGCAAAATTCAAGAAAATCCAATGGCAACTTGAGAGGAATACAGGTATTATTGTTCTGAAGCAAACAATAAGGAATTTCAAAGAAGTCAGCTAAGATTGTGTCCTCTAAGAAAAACACCTACTAGTGAAGAAATCTAGGGATGCCAGATTAAAATTTGTTTGTGAGCATAAAAATAAGCCTGAATCTTTTTTTTTTTTTTTTTTTTTTTTTTTTTGGGAAAGTGTTTTATGGACAGAGGAAGCAAAAATTGAACTATTTTGGTGTCATTCAAAGAGCCATGTTTGGGGGGGAAATGGCACAGCCTTTGCACCAAAAAGCACAATCCTAATGGTGTAATTTGGTGGTGGCAAAATCATAGCTTTGTAATGTTTTTAATTTTTCTGCTAATGGTACGGGTAATTTAAAGATAATAGATGGTAGAATGAATTTAAAAAGATGTTTTGGACTCTAATTCGTTTGTCTCAGTAGTAAATCTTCAACTCCCAAATGAATGGGTTTTGCAACAAGATAATGACCCTAAACATACATGAAAAAATGACTTACTGAAAACAATTTCAATACACTCAAAATGGCCATCACAGTCTCCAGACTTGAATCCAATAGAGCATTTGTGGTATTTATTAAAAATTCAAGTTAATAAAAGACTTATGAAAAATGTCCTGGAATATGCAAAGAAGAATGAAATAAAATACCAATGGAAACTTGCAAATCATTGATTAAAAGCTACAGAAAGAGACCAATTTCTGTTGAATTGAGTAAGGGATATGCTACAAAGTAATTAAATGTGTATTTAATTTTGTACAAATAACCTTTTTGCCTACAATTTTTTTTAATTTCATTAATATAACAAATTTTTTTTGCATATTGCAACATTATGCAATGGTATGGATTATAAAATTCTTTTATAAAATCTGTTCAATAAAAAAAAAAAAAATTCATGGTGTACGAATATTTCTCAAATACTGTATATATAAATATATATATATATATATATATATATATATATATAATGACATAAGTAAAAATGTTAGTTTGTCAAAATTTTTAAATTTAAGTAAACTTAAGAGATGCTTATAAACATTCATGAGGTTAAGTAAAAAGTCTGTAAAGTATGGAGGATGCAAAGTGACATAATTTAATGTCTGATGAAGCCCTAAGGGATGAAATGCATCACAAAGCTTTTTCAACTTTGCCAATCATCAATTATTTTCCCCAATATTGTTCTCTTATTTTTATATATGCATATATATATATATATATATATCGGCATTAGCAGAACTCATTGAGCATTAGGGTGCTCATCGACATTTCTTTCTATGTGAAATCGGTCCTATACTGAATCTGAAGAGATGTTCACAGCCACGGCATGTTTATAAAGGCTTTTCTTTGGCTCTTTTCATTTCCTCTATTTGTCTTCTGGTGTTTTCGAACGATGTTTTTTTTTTTTTTGTGTGTCGACTACTCTTTTCCAATTGGTTCTTTTTGCAGCTTCTGTCTTCCAATTGACCAGATTTGTATCTTGTCAGATGCGAGCTCTAAGAGGATTTGTTTGGTATTCGGGCAAGGTGTTTGACTCATCGAAGTCGGTGGCAAGGTGGTAATTACAGCAGAGTGCATTCGCAAAAGTAACCATCACAACAATTACAGCTACATTAACTTTATCTTCGCAATCCACCCCTGAGGAGGAAATCAAAACTACTTGGGTTAACAAAAATACAGCACCTTCCTTGATGAGTTTCAGCTTAACATCAAGAATATAATTAGAGAACTAGAAATGATTATTTTAAAAATAGACATAGTCTATATTATTTAATGAAATATGCTGCATACATACACACACACACACACACACACACACACACACACACACACACACACACACACACACACATATATATATATAGCAAGTTTACCTCGTTAAGGGAGTTAACCATGACAAAGGCTACAGAAATCAAGGGAAATAACTTTAATAAAGACAGCAAATCGGCCAGTAGTAGGAAAAATATTTAAATTTGTCAGATTTTTAAGGCTTATTTGGATTTAGTATCGTCATTTTTTTTTTTTTTTTTTTTATAAGTAGTTCTTTGTTGGAATTTAATTTGAGAACAACAATTTCACAAGTTCACATTCTTGCTATTTTTTCTAT